TACGTACGTACGTACGTACGTACGTACTACGTACGTAGTATACGTATATATATATATATATAAAAAAAAAAAAAAAAAAAAAAAAAAAAATGTTTTGGGGTCTTATTTTAAGTATATTACACTTTATATGTGGTAACTCTTTTATCTAACTTTGAAGTGATAGACTAGACTGAAGGCAGCTAGTCAAAAACACCCACTGCCAGTTCTTGGATTAATTTTTTTACCAATGAATAGTGAAATTAATCGTAACATTATAATAGCCCCACGGATGAAAGGATTAGCATATTCGGTGACGGGATTCGAGCCCATGACCCGCAGATTGCGAGTCGAATGCCCTAACCACTAGGTTATGCCAGGCCTTCAGTTAGGAACAAAACTTTAAAATGAAAAGTTTTTTAAATTTTATTTTGGTACTTCGTCGCATCTTACATCCTAAGAGGTTTCATGGTTCGTCCGTTCTGGAGCTAAATATCTGCAGTTCAATATTTTTAAACTAAAACTTTGGTCACCTAGATAACCTGGTTTACTTTTGTACTAAGCAACTTACCTACTGGGGACGTCGTACTCTGTAGGTCAAATGCTATTATATAGTGACGGCGAAGAAGTGAAGAGATGAAATTATTAACGGTCCTGTTGTGTCACACCTTCAAACCGAAATTACTAATGATTTTCAACTTTTTTGTAAATAAAATACAAGCAGTATCCTAGCCATTCTTCATTTATTTAGGTTTATGACACTCAACCGTGACTCAAATAATTTATAAAAAATCATTACAAGGTTCGCCATGGCGAGTCCTCAATAAGGAAAAAAAGAAACATACTTCATGATTAAGTTATGTTTGCATGATCACTGAATCAGTTTAACATTACGAATGTTCAAATTGTCAACGATGGGTGACATAGAAGTCCTTAAAAAAACACTCATATAAAATACAATATAATTAGTGCTTTTATTATACTTGTCAGGGAAGGGTCGATATGGTCTGCCTTGTACGTATGAGCTGAACTTTTTTATTTTCTATGTATTTTCAAATGGTCCCTAACTGTGTAAAAGTATGCAATGATATAGCTTTAATAAATTATATTAACTACGCTTGTATTTATTAAATTATGATCCAGCTCTGACGAGCGATGCAAGGCAAAGTTGAGTAGAAAAATTGGGATATAGTCGTTTTTCATATATGCGCTATACATGTTAAGCCATACCGGTGCAGTAACTATCCAATATCAAGGAAAACATTCTGTCTGTCTGTGGACGCATCTCCTCCTAAAGAAATTTACCGATCCAGTCCAAACTTGGCATGCTAACTTAGTAGCCCAAATTCAAACTAAATTCATATTACACTTTTCCATATATATATATATATATATAT